ATGTTTTACATTAAAGTAAGCAAGCAGGTGCGTTAAAAATCTGGACATGTGGCCATGATCAGCAAACTTTCAAAATATATTCTGGGCACGTTGATTGCCTTCATCGTAATCGTTTTCGGCGTTTTCTGGTTTGTTTTCTTCTCATCCCGCCCACCTCTAACCATCGACCCGGCAATCCTGGCCGGCGACGGCAGCACCCTCAATTATTGTGAACTACCGGCTCTGGACGGCAGCGGCAAAATGGCAGCGGATATACCCAAAGGCAACACACCAGGTTGCAGCTACACGCACTTTCCTTTGCCCGTTTTGCGAGAGTGTACCGAGCCGCTACCCGGGGGTGCTGACGATATTCGCGGCCTCTGGCGCGGCGTCTCGGGCCGCGTTGGTCACGTCGAGCGCATAGAACAGTGCGGCCCACGTGTTGTTGTCACCACCAGCGGCATCATTCACGACTCCGGGCCAAACAGCACCGCCAGTTACAACTCTAATGACACCGAAGGCGCCGTGCTGTTTACCCTGGGTGATCGCGAGTATTGCCCCCGAAGTTCCGCCGGCATGTTCTGGAACAACGGCGTGCTGGAATTCAAAGCGTTCGGCTGGGGGCCAGTAGTCGTACGTCGTTATATGGATGGCGAACAACTGATATGGGAATACGCTGATGGCAGCGTTACCCACATGGAACGCCTTTGCACGCTGCCAGAGGCTCACAAAAAGCCACCCATGAGAGGCCCGCGCTACGCATTTTTTTGAACACCGGAGGGACTATTTCCCGACTGAATCGATACCAGAACCACCCAGCCAGATACCACCGGCATTTGTGGTCTCGATATTCAACTGTCCAGCCAGCCCCGCATCCCGGTGATGATGAATCGCCTGATATTCTTCTGACTGCATCATCTCGATCATGGCTTGTCTGTTTGGATACATGGCGATGGCAACCGAATCCCACAGCTCTTCAACCTCACCCAGCATCAGCCGTTCAACCTTGGCGTTGAACATACCGCCACCACCAAGGTTCACCAGTATTTCCGAAACAGCCGCGCCATACAGCGCATAAGCTTCAACGCCGGATAAGTCGGTTTCGCGCCCATCCGCGTATTCGGCTTTCTCTTTGAACTTAAGCAGATTAAGCATATAGATTGGCCCTTCCGCACCTGGCGTAAAGAATCCTTTGATCTGCTCTTCGCTGGGCGTAAGTTTGTTTTCGACTTGCATTGACCGTCCTCATTTAAGGGTGGATAAATGGTTAAACAGAGGACAAAGAAGCCCTCTGCTGCCTGATCACATTCATTGCGAGCATATCGGTTTAATTAATGCACGTCATTATAATTGATCGAGCGGTATTATCGATAACATATCGATGTTCTTATACGTTTCATCGCGCTCGCAGGTGATTCGCAGCTGGTGATCTCCTGGGGACAAGCCGAGTCTTTCAAAGACTTTCACGTAGTACTGTCCATGTTCGCTGGCGTTGTTAGACAGGTCGACGATACTCTGCTCCCCATCCAGGGCAACGCTTACCTTCCCAGCCCCAGCATGTCTGAACGCGTAGTACTGCACTGCCGTGCCACTGAACATTATTTCGGCAGCGCAATCGGACTGGCCCGACGTCAAAGTCGCCCCGGATGCGTTCCATTTCTGACCTTCAGTGGTGAAACCGCTGTACTGCCAGCGGGGGTCCGTATCTTCGATGGTCTCCCACGGTATAACCGTCTCTTCAACTGCAGACCTGACAATGTCATCATGCATGGCTGGAATCACCCAGTGGCCGTCAACAACGTCGCCGCCCATACCCTGCACGACGACGCCATCGATGATGTCCAGACCACGCGTCGCCATGTCCGTGAAGTTATCGGGCGCTGCAGGAAAGTTGTAGCGTGTGCGGGTAATCAGATAGTCATCAGAGAAGTCCGTTTTATTGAAGTAGTCCTGCAGCGCCTCATAGCCGTACAACAATCCCAATAAGCCACCCCAGGTTGCCGTTGGGTTGTCCGAATCCCAACCCGCAAGGGTGCCGATGCGGATCGTTTTTCTATAGTCCCCTTCCCCATAAAGCAGACTTACGATTGAAGCGGCGAAGTTGATGCCCGCATCCCAGGGATACTTGTACTCATAGCCGGCCGCCCCCTGTACCTGGTAGCGTTCATAGACTCTGTCGCGGGTCTGCTCCCAGTTATCTTTGTCTGGGTTGCCGTCGTATTGTGCCTCGACGAAGTCATACATATCCGCAATGTACGACCAGTCCGGTACGCGCTTGCGGGCTTCCCGAGCCATCCAGAACACCTGCTCTTTGCGCGACAAACCGGGATCGGCCAGTGCAACCAGGGAATGCATGATCACGTAGAACTCCGCAGCCCACTCCGAATGCAGGTAAGCTGTAGTACGGATGGGCAGATGCGACATCTGCAGCGCCACATCCGGGCGCGCCGGGGCCATGGCACCAAATATTTCAGTGGTCAGTTGCGCATCAATCATGTCCCACATTGGATTGTTCTCAGGCAGGGAGGTTACCGGCGGCAGCGCCCCATTCTGCATCTGCCCAAGTGCCGCAAGGTTCGACACCCACAGCAACGGTAGACCTATGTGCCTCTGCCATGCAGCAGCAATCTGTTCAGCCGTGAGCATGTAGCTGTCGCTTTGCTCCATGGCCTTTTGATAAACGTACTCAATATCCGTATCGTCATCCGCGCCCCATGGGTCATTGCCCAGCACATAATCGACAACTTCTCCTGCCCGACCGATCCGCTTCTGCCAATCATCGTCATTGAAGAACGGCGGCGCAGCACGAACATTTTCAGTTGGCAAACCGGTCCAGTTCGCAATGGAACTGCCCAGCCAGAATCCACGCAGTCTGTCATGGTATTCGCTTCGGTCAATTTCGATATCAGCACCATTGCTGCAGGCGGCCATCTGAACCAGCAGAATCGCATAGAACAGAACCCATGTTGTTGCCTTCATGGGTTAAGTCTTACTTTCATACGTTGATCTTAGCAGCGTCATTGATCACCCATTGTTTGGTCGAACCCAAGAAGCTTTCCGGTCGCGAGCCTTAGAACGCTGGCAGCTTTGGTTACACTCAATCGCTGATCCCGTCGCAGGCTGACCCAGTAGTCTATACCCAACACGCCATCAACGGCTTCAAACACGACCTGATCCCGCGTGATTTCTTCGGGGAGAATGTCCATCAGCCTTTTACGTCGTCGCGCTATACCCGCTCGCTGGCCGGAATCAGATGTCGACGCACGATACCGGCTCCAGATGGTTGATATATAAAGCGGCAGCAACGACTCATAAACCCGAACACGTCGATCAATCACCTGCTGTATCTGTTCATGCCAACTACTCTCCGCCTGCACGGTAAAAGGTTCATCCATCACAGCCGCTGCTTTACCCTCAGCATCCGCGATCAGGCTGCGGTGCAACGAGTCCATATCCGGAAAGTGTCGGAACAGAGTCCTTGGTGTAATGCCAGCACTGTCGGCAATCTCTCTGGCGGTGGGATCGATAGTCCCACCAAGAATCAGCCCGCGCGTCGCGTTCAGGATTTCCCGGCGCGTCGCGGCTGTGCGTTCAACCCTTCCATCCACCTTTCCTGCGGTAGATGCAGATTCTGCCTGACTCACTGAAAGGTCTCGCGACTGGCCAGTGTTCGCATGACTGTTGCAAATTCCGCCGGCCCCGCGCCGTTTTCACCTTCGGCGAACAACATCGGTTGTCCTGTCGAGAACTGGGCCACCACAGTCCCTTGTCGGCGATCGATCCACAGATACTGGTCGAACGCACCCGCTGCAATAAACTCCTGATCATAGTTATGGGGTATCCAGAACTGGACGCTGTAGCCACGCTGCAGGTCACCGACTTCATCGATTCGAGGTTCCTGGAATGGTGCCTGGGGGTTTTCGACCATGGAGAACCAGTCGTCGCGAACCGTCTGATCACCTTCCATAACAAGGTCTTCAACGTAGAGCTGGCCAAGGTGAGCAAACTCTTCCAGGCGCAATGAGAGGCAGCAGTGCCCCATAGCGTGACCGCTACCATCCAGACCCCAGGTTGCATCGCCGCCGAATCCACCGCGCTGCCAGAGTCGATCCTGCACGATCTCGGTAAAGGGGAGTCCATAAACTCCCCTGAGAACCGCAGCCAGCACATGGGTATCTGTGGCGATGTAGTTGAAGTCCGTCCCTGGGGGTACACGGCGCCCCAGCGCACCGGCCCATGCATCAAAGTCCTGCCGCTCCTGGATGATGTCCCAGTACATATCGTTGCGGTCAGGCTTGCCTTTGAAATGAAAGAAGTTAATGCCGGATGACATCATCAATACGTGGCGGATCGAGCTTTCGCCGTAAGCAGTGCCGCTGAACTGCGGGGCGTATCGCTCCACCTTGTCATCCAGACTTTCAATCCTGCCTTCAAAATGTGCCATCGCCACAAGTGTTGAGGTAAAGCTCTTGCTTGCGGACCAGATGTGGTTACGACTCTCCCGGTTCAGACCTTTGCCGTAGTACTCAAGTTTGATCTCACCGTCCTGCAGAACCATCAGGCCCGAGATATTTGCCTTTTCGAGATAAGCAGTCAGGGGCAGGCGCTCATTTCCCATGGTGTAAAAAACGCTTTCCGGTGAAAAGACATGTCGCCGGTATTGCCTGGGATTTGTCGACGACTGCAAGCGAGCTACGGGCTGAATGACTGCCCAATTGGAAAAAACCTCGGCCCGCATTCGCTCAAATGGCAGCGTGAACCAACGCCAGCTCTGCAGGTCGTCCCAGGGCTTCGTAATCCAGGTGGTGCCGCCGATGAGAAGCACCAGCACAAGGATACCTGCCGTTTTGGCGACACGCTTGATGAACAGCAGCATTAAAATACCGTTTGAAATATTATGTCACCGAGAGTGACAATATATTTTTCCTATGTCAATATCGTCCAACATAACCTCCCTGAAGCGTATTAACAGATATGAGTGATCAACTGTCGATTGATGTCTTCTGGTCTTTCAGAAGCCCATGGTCATACCTGGCAACCCCGCGGCTAAGGCAATGGCAGAATGACTATGACCTGGCGGTCAACTTCCGCCCGGTGTATCCGATTGCAATCAGAACCCCTGAGTTTTTTCAGGCGGTGCAGCCGCAATGGTTCTCCTATTTCCTGACAGACATTTTTCGTGTTGCAGAGTTTCTTGATCTGCCGTTTGCCTGGCCGAATCCGGATCCTGTTGTGCAGTATGTGGATGAGCAGGGACAGCGCAGGACGGGCGAGGAGCAGCCGTACATCTACCGGTTGACACGACTGGGAGTGCTGGCAGCAGAACAGGGTAAAGGTATTGAGTTCGCCGACGAAATCTCACGCCTCATCTGGGGTGGCACGACCAACTGGCATGAAGGCGTTCATCTTGCAGAAGCCAGCGATCGAGCGGGGCTATCTCTGCAGGAGTTGGATCAGCAGGCCATAGACGACGAAAGCCGCTTGGAAACGGTCATCGCACATAACCAGGCCGACCATGACAAAGCAGGCCACTGGGGGGTACCGACCTGCGCATTCGAAGGCGAGCCTTTTTTCGGTCAGGACCGCCTGGACGTCCTTCTGTGGCGTCTCAAACAGGCTGGTCTGAAAACCCGCTAAGGCTGCGTTAACGCAATGAAAAAACTGGCCATTCTGCTGATTACAGTGGCGGCAGCCGCTCTGGCGATCGCATTTTACATTGGGTGGGAACGTTCCGAGAGAGCAGACCTCGTTAGTGCGCGCGGGTTACTGGAAGTCGACAATGGCGACGCACAATTCTGGTTGATGCAGGGCGGAGCCAACAATCGTTACCTACCTTGCACGGTACACTACTATTTTGATCAACCATTAGACGAATCGCTTGTACTGAATCGCCTTAAAGATCTGGTCGCACCTTATCAGATGTTCAAGCGCAACGTCGTTGAAGTGGACGGTTTGCCTTACTGGCAGCCTGCCAAGCCAGACTGGCGCCAGAACTTTCGCCGGCTCTCTGCAGAAGAAAACATGACCTCGGTCAGAGTTACAGCTGACAGGGCGCTTTCCCAGGCGCAGGAGGTGGGTGCTGGCATCCCTTTGTTCAGAGCCTTTCTGTCTAACGATGGTCGTCAGCTGACGTTCATGTGGCACCACGTCATTTCCGACTTTGAAGGCATGTTCAACAAACACGCACGGCACCTGTTTCAGGTTGATATCGAGCGAACCAGATTTGGCTATCAGATTGAAAACCCAGGACGCGCGGAGCAGGCAGATGACGCCACCTCCCCTCTCCTGCGTCTCAACAGGACTTTTGCGGAGCGACCCCTCGGCTTCGAAGAGACCGGATTTGACGTCAGGAAGTTTGTCCTGCCGATCGAAGATAAGGCACTGCACGATCGAGGACGTACCATGGGCCTGCCAATGAGCGATATTTTTTCGTTCATCACCATGCGGACCGTGACCCTCTACCATGAATCCAAGCAAGACGGAATGCAGAGCAGCCTCCGTCCTGTCGTCAGCCCACTCAGTCTGCGCAAGAGTTCCCTGGCAACCGATGAGGGCAACAACCGGGTGACAAAGCCGTTCCCCCTGGTGTTCCCGCTGGAGAGCGTCGAGGTTATGTACCAGCGAATCCTCTCGCTGGCGCCAGCTTCAGGCTCCTATGACAGGGCGGGCAGAATGCTGAAAGTGGCACGGCAGTTTTCCTTTCTGGAAGCACCCATGCGCAGGCTGGGATCTCCTGACTACATCTCTAACTATTTCCCTCTTGCAGACATGCCGTTTCGCATGGAAGACGCTGTCGTCACCAGTCACGAACTGAGAGTGCCGATGGTGCCGTATGAACGCACCAAGTTCGCCTGGTCTAACTATAACGGAGAGGTACAACTGTTTCTTCACACCGACCCCAAGCTCGTTGATGCTGATCTGATGGCTGCCTCCTATGCACATGCGGAAGAAGAGGTGCTGTCGTTTCTGGGGGGCAGTCAGTGAATACGGACTATCGGCTGTTTGCCTGGGACTTCAGTTATTTCTCGGCAAAGATACGTGCCTATTGCCGTTTCAAGGCGTTTCACGAGACGCTGACTTATGAAGAAGTGCTGGCCACTCAAGCCATCATGCAAGGCTATATCACTCCCGCAACGGGATCGAATGTGGTCCCCCAGGTGGAAGCCGCAGATGGAACATGGCTGCAGGATTCGAGCGAAATCATCGACATACTGGAAGCACGACATCCGCAGGCGCCGGTGGTTCCTGAAGGCGCTCAGCAACGCCTTGTCTCCTATCTGTTAGAGCTTCTGGCAGATGAGTGGATGCTGCCCTGGGCGTTCTGGGAGCGGTGGCACTATTCCCTGGCATCCGTTCAGCCGAACCACGAACCCTGGAATGCACAGCAGTGGGGACGGATCTTCGCGCCCGATCAATCCGGATTAGAAAGGCGCAAGGCGGCCCGCTTCGTTTTCCGTGAAATCATGAAAATTGATGATCCGCAAAATGCGGAATCAGGCCCTTTTGCAGGTTTACCTCAGCTGGGTGTTACAGAAAAAACGGTACCAGCCTGGACAAGCAGTATGCACCACATGCTGTCGATTCTGGAAACGCACTTCAACCAGCATGACTATGTGCTGGGCGGACGTCCGACACTTGCAGACTTTGCACTCCTGGGTCCCCTCTATCCACACCTCTATAACGATCCGGTGCCCGGTTTCATGATGCGTACGCAGTACCCTCTGGTGTGCGAATGGATTGCTCGCGCCAACGGATCTACTGAGGCTGGCGCGAGGAGTTACAGGCAATCTGGCTACCACCTCGAGCAGGGATCACTGGTGCGCATTTGTGGCGCCAGCGACGGAGGTGACATGCTTCCCGATGATACGGTGCCGGAAACACTGCTCCCGCTGATTGGTGTCTTTTTCGACGAAATGTGGCCGGTACTGAAAAGCAGCATTGACGTGCTGACCAACTACATCGCCAGCGGCAAACATCCTGCCGATAACCCTTTGCCCTCCAAGAGCTTTTATTCGCCGGCCGAGTTCAGGGCGCTACAGTCCAATGGTGGTGCACTTACCCATGAATTTAAGCTCGGTGGTGTAAGCGAAACCCGCATGGTCTCACCCTATCAGGTATGGATGCTGGGTCGCATGAGTGATGCGATGGCTGAGCATTTCAATGATCCGCATCAAAGTGCACGGCTTGAGGATTTGCTTGCTGCTTTCCGGGACGGGGTGGAAATAACCACACTGCCCCAACTGCTGCGTGGATGCCGCCTGCAAAAGAAATTTGAACAGATATTTATTGCACAAAGTAACAACTAACAGTTCGTCAGAGGAGGAACCCGTGACAGATATAGAAACACGAGGCACGAAGGTAGACAGCGGCTGGCAAGACCATGACGGTTTTGTCGGCCCCATGCAGCCCGGAACCGGACCCCGAAGCGATCCGAAAGGCGAATTTCCAACCGGTCCAGAGGTTGGGCAGCAGATGCCCGATGTTCAGTGCGCTACGGCAGATGATACCCACTTTGATCTGCATGCAGATCGAGCAGGCAGGCCAGCGGTCTTTATCTTTTACCGTTCAGCGGTGTGGTGACCACCTTGTCGTTCGCAACTGGTCGAGTTGCAAAGGCAGATGAAAGATTTTGATGCGGCGAATATTGCCGTATACGCGCTCAGTTATGACGAGGCAGATGCACTGCGAGATTTTCGTGATGCCCACGATGTCACGTATACGCTGCTTTCCGATCCGGAGTCTGATGTCATCAGATCATTCGGTATTCTGAACACGCTGATCAATGAGAATGACCACCCCTGGTACGGCATTCCTTATCCCGGCACCTATGTCGTCAATGCCGACGGCAGAATTATACAAAAGTTTTTTGAGAACAACCTGGCTGTCAGAGCCGGTCCGGAACAGTTGCTGCGCGCGGCACTCGGCCAGTCACCGGAGGCCACGAATGACGGCGTCCCCGAGACAGTCGAAGAGGTTGAGGTCAGCGTTCACCTTGACGGGGCCAGCCTGACGCCCACTGTACAGAAAGACCTGGTGGCACAATTTCGGGTCCCAGCCGGGCAGCACGTTTACGCGAACCCCGCGCCGGTCGGTTCGATTGCGGTTGATTTAATCCTGGACGACCACGAGGGCCTGGTACACAGAGCCATCATTCGTCCACCGGCAGAACCGCACAGCCTCGCCGGCACAGATGAGACCTTTGATGTTTATCACGATGTTTTTCAGCTGAGATTACCCCTGACAGTCAACAATGCCAGCCAGCCTGAAATTACAATCGCCGGGGAACTGATCTGGCAGTCCTGCGACGATCAGGTCTGCGGCATTCCCGTTCGCAAGCGGTTTGCGATCACGCTGCCAGTGACGGCGTCTCCACCAGTTGCACTGGGCAGCAGGAAAGGCGCCGCCCTGGAACCCAATGCCATGGCCCATTTTGCAAAAATGACAGAACGACGCAGGCAGGATTAACACATGAATCGGCAATGGTCGCGGGGTTTGCTCAGATGAAAGTTGCCAGTGCAGCCGGCAATGCCAAAACCGCTCTGCTGCTGCTGTTCGGCGCTTATGCCTTGTCCATCACCGACAGGATGATCCTCTCGGTGTTGTTCGAACCCATCCGTCTGGAGTTCGGCGCAACCGATACGCAGATGGGCCTGCTGGGCGGCCTGTCGTTTGCTCTATTCTACGCAACCCTCGGCCTGCCGATCGCGCGGCTTGCAGACCGCTACAACCGTCGGCTCATCATCGTCACCTCCCTCGGCCTGTTCTCGGCGATGACTGCCATGAGCGGACTTGCTCTGAGTTTCCTGATGCTGTTTCTGTTTCGCATCGGCGTCGGTATTGGTGAGGCAGGTGTCAACCCGGCGAGCCAGTCAATCATCGCCGACCTGTACCCGAAAGAACGGCGGGCGACCGCCATGTCGATCCTGGCAGTTGGCGCACCGGTTGGCATGATTGGCGGCTTTCTCATCGGTGGACTGGTCAGTCAGATGTTTGGCTGGCGGGCCGCCATGTTTGCGGTGGGTGTTCCGGGTGTGGTGCTTGCCATCCTCATGTTCTACTTTCTCCGGGAACCTGTGCGCGGGGCAACAGACATATCGCCGCACACACAAGAGGCAGATGCGCCCTCCGGGATCTTACCGGCCGCCGGGTACATGTTCCGTTCGCCGGCGCTGCGCCAGCTGCTTATTGCATCCACGCTCACCGGCATGGCGTCTTATGGCGCGTCCACCTGGTTGCCCACATTCTTCGTCCGCGTGCACGATCTTTCCCAGGGCCAGGTGGGCCTGTTGATGGCGTTTCTTTTTGGCGGGCTGGGCGCAGTGGGTACTTTTGTGGGTGGTAGGCTGTTCGACAGACTGTCTGCACCCGGGTTTGATCGCGGCCTTAAGATGATTGCCGTTGTGCAGGTGGCAACGGTGCCTTTCTCCGTCGCCGCCTACCTGGCAGGTTCTTTCACAGGCGCGATTTTCCTTTTCATGCTGCCTGCATTTGCGGCTAACTTTTTCCTGGGTCCTACGCTTGCTCTGATCCAGACGTTGTCACCCGTGCCCATGCGCGCCGTGGCTGCGGCCATCAAGATGTTCTGCCTCAATCTGGTTGGCATGAGTCTTGGCCCCTTTCTGGTCGGGGCAACCAGCGACTGGCTTGCACCTGTATATGATGAGCGATCCCTTGCCATAGCACTGGCCGTACTGACCTGTATGAGCCTCTGGTCCGCCGCTCACTTCTGGCTGTGCGGCCGGGCAATACGGGTCACTGAAGTAAATGGAGACCAAACCTATGGTTAGATTGACCGATTTACCTGACTACGAACGTGAGCACCTGCTCTCAAAAAACCAGCCACCACTGGGGCCACCCGCCTGGACACCGCTGAGCAAGCCAATATCTGAGCTGCGCATTGCGCTGATCACCACCGCAGGGCTGCATTTTCGAGACGACCCGAACTTCGAATTTGCCGATGCCACCTTCAGGCCGATTTCAGACGATGAAGACGCAAACAATCTCGTTATGTCGCACAGCTCTGTCAACTTTGACAAAACCGGCTTTGCCGAAGACGTCAATCTCGTCTTCCCGATAGACCGTTTCCGGGAGCTGGAAGCACAGCAGAAGATCGGATCTCTAGCGACAGTGCACTACAGTTTTATGGGTGCTGGCCTGGACCCACAAGCATATGAGAAAAGTGCCTCGCAGGTGGCCGGCCTTCTGAAACAGGATAACGTCGATGCGGTATTCCTGACCCCGGTCTGACCCAACTGCACGCGCGCGGTCAGCGCGCTCAGCTACTTTCTTGAACGCGCAGGCATCATGACCACCGGCATCAGTCTGGTGCGTGAGAATACCGAGAGCATGCAGCCACCCCGAGCGCTGTGGGTGAGTTTTCCGCTTGGCCGCCCGCTGGGCAAGCCGGGTGATGCTGCGTTTCAACATCGCGTTATCGACGCCGCCCTCAACCTGTTAAATGAGGAACACGCCCCGGTGCTGGTTGATTACCCGGAAGATGCGCCCAGCGTTGCAATCGATGCTGCACCCGCCTGCCCGGTGTCATTCGCAAAACCGGCTGCGGACACAGATACCTGGGAAGCTGCACTGTTGAACGAACTGCAGACCCTCACCCCATGGCATGATCTGGGTAGACGTCGCCGCAACGGTCGCACGCTGGTTGGTGCCTCCGAATTTTCAATGACCGATAATCTGCAGAAATTAGGGCAATTACTCGACAATAACACGCTGCCGACCACAGAACTAAAGTGGTTCAAAGCAGCCATTGAAGACGCCAAGGTGTTCTACATAGAAGCACTCACTGCACAACCTGGCGACTATGACCACAAACAGATAGAGCAGATCTACTGGCACGAGACCCGCTTGGGTGCCGCGACGATCGAGTTTGCAGAACGGTTTCTTCAACATCCTGAACTGGCCGCCTTTGCCAGAATCATCACGCCACGAAACGTTCCACAATAAATAACTCCAGCGAGGCACAACCATGAATATCAGACCCATCACTCAGGATTTTGTTGCCGACATTTCCGACATCGATTTAACGTCAATGACGGATGAGGACTTTGAAGCAATCTACCAGGCCTGGCTCACCTATGGCGTGCTGCGCATCCGTGGGCAGCAGCTCGACGAGGACGAACTGCAGGCATTCAGCGCTCGATTCGGTCCGCTGGAAGAGATTCCCATGGGTCGCCTGCCCGAATCTGAGCGTGCCAAAGTTAAAAACCGTTACGTCACCCAGTTATCAAACATCATCGAAAACGGCAAACCCATAGGTGGGCTTGGTAATGCGGAGGCCAACTGGCATTCCGATATGACCTACGTCGAGAATCCTCCGCCCGCCAGCGTGCTGCTGGGTGTCGAAATACCTGACGAGGGTGGTGATACCTATTTTGCTGACCAGAACGCAGCCCTCACCGCAATGCCGCAGGCACTCATCGAACGCCTGGCAAGCCTGTCCATCAAACATGACGCAGCGCATACAAGTATTGGCAAACTACGGCCCGGGTTCGAGCCCTTCGATGACCCTCGTGATGCTCCGGGGGCAAGTCATCCCGCCATCATCACCCACCCGGAAACCGGGGAACAGACATTGTATCTGGGGCGCCGCGAGTGGGCTTACATCGACAGCCTGCCACTTGAAGACAGTGAAGCGCTATTGGATGAAATCTGGTCATATGCTGCGCGTCCGGAACATGTGTGGCGACAGCAATGGCAGCCGTATGATCTGATCATCTGGGACAACCGCCGCGTGCTGCATCGGCGCGACGATTTTGACCCGAATTCACGTAGATTGATGAAGCGCTGTCAGGTGCTGAACAGAATCGTATAGCTCGTTGTTCAGTCCACCTGATACCTTTCTTTCATCAGTGCAACAGACTGAGCAACAATGTCCTCAAGCACGTGCACGTCCACGTTGCTCAATCGACCCAGATACAGACACGAACGACCGGTCTTGTAAGAACCCAGTTTACTTAACAAACTATCGTACGGTTCAAAACCCGGCATAATATACACAACCATATTTGCTTTGCGCGGCGCAAAGCCGGTTAAAAAATGATCGCCTTCCCTGCCACTGTCGTAAACATAGTGGTAACAACCAAAACCGATAATGCTCGGCCCCCACAAGACCGCTGGTTCCCCCGTAATCCTCGTCATCATGTTGAGTAATAGATAGGCATCTTCACGTCGACCAGCGTGAGGCACTGAATCAAGATAAGCCTTAACATCTTTCGAAGTTGGCTGGGTTTTGTTGTTTGCAGTTGTCGTACGCGGCATAGTGACCTCTCCTGGCATGAGTCTTTAGCTATGATCCAAATCTATCACGTCACCAATACCCGCGGCATAAGACCCATTTGGCTTTGTGAAGAACTGGGCATCGAGTATTCGATAACTAAAATCGATTTCTCCCAGGCATTCAGACGCCAACCCGAATGGCGTGCGATGAACCCCGTAGGCAAAGTGCCGGTTCTGGAAGATGGTGACCTGCGTATGTTCGAATCCGGCGCCATGGTGGAATACATTCTGGCCCGCTACGGCGAGTGCCGATTACAGCCGGAACCATCCAGCGAGACTTTCGCACACTACCTGCAATGGACTTGGTTTGGTGAGGCTACACTGTCACGTCCCCTTGGAGAGATAGTTAACCATCGCAGAGAATTTCCCGGCGACCTGGAGATCCCCGAGGTGGTTGCGGAAATGGGCAACCGGGCCGGTGAGTGTCTGCTAGCGATTGGGGACGCTGTCGAGAACAAACAGTTTATTTGTGGTGATGAATTCACTGCTGCAGACATCATGCTGGGATACGGCTTACATCTGGCAGAGATGTTAGTGCCTGAAAAAATTCCTGAGAAACTGCAGCCCTACTGGACAAGTCTCAAACATCGTCCGGGTTTTCAGATAGCCAGAAATGCCTGAGTACAGTTCTTGACATTAAGCGCGCGCCGGTCAACATCGGCACTCAATTTAGGAGAGACGGAACCATGGCGACAATTACTCTGCTGTACGCAGGCATCTTAGGCATCATTTCGATTGCACTGGCTTTTGCGGTTGGATCGCAACGCGGAAAAACTAAAATTTCCATAGGCACCGGCGAAAGTGATGCACTGTTTATTGCGACGCGCAGGCATGGCAATTTTGTCGAGTATGTACCTTTGGGATTGATTTTAATGGGCCTGCTGGAACTTAACGGCGTATATCCCATTGCAATCCACGGCTTTGGCGCGGTGCTTGTGATTTCCCGCATCTGCCACCCGTTAGGGCTGAAAGTTGGCGCTACATCACATCCACTTCGCGCCATTGGCACCCTGGGTACCGTTGTTGTTACGGTGGTCATGTCAGTGTGGGCAATCGTCGCCTATTTTTAGGTCAGCCTCGGATAGCCAACAACCGCAGACTTATCTTTAGATGATCAAGGGAATCAACTACTTCATGCAGGGCGCGCGCATCACCATGCGTAAAGACGTGCGCCCCTTTGTTTTCCTGCCTGCCGCCGTAAGCTTAGGTGTAATCGTTGGCGGGCTGACCCTGGGCTTCAGCTACATCAGCGATTTATCTGACTATCTGATTGCCAGCCTGCCCAACTGGTTAAGTTTTCTGCAGTGGATATTAGAACCACTGCTCTATCTGCTGGGTGTACTGGTGGGCGCATGGTCCTTTGGCTTTCTTGCCGCCATCATCGGTTCTCCGTTTCTCGGCGATCTCGCCCTGAAGGTAGACAACATGCCGGACCCGCAGATTGCCTGGTACAAACAGATTGCGCCAGCGCTGGGCCGGGAGTTGAGAAAACTCCGCTATCACATTCCACGTCTCTTACTGCTGTTGCTGCTCAGCGTTATCCCGGTTGTTAACGCTCTGACGCCTTTTTTATGGGTGGCTTTTGGTGCCTGGCTGATGGCAGTGCAGTTCTGCGACTACACTAACGAGAACCGGCAAAAACCTTTTGAAGATACCCTGACCACTTTGCAGGGCAACAAAAGCAAAGCGCTGGGCTTTGGCGCCTGCGTGACTGTGGCCATGGCTGTGCCGCTGGCTAATTTTCTGGTAGCACCCATCGCCGTTGCTGGTGGCACTCTGTTGATGAAATCCATACGGGAGAACCCAAATGCTTAAACTATTTGTGCAAACCATTTTGTTGAGCGCAACTTTTCTTGCTGCATTACCGAACCTTGCCAATGAATTCTGGGCACACGGTTTTGTTAAGCGGGTCGACGTCTCCTACGGTGAAGACCCACAACAGACAATGGATGTATTCCTGCACGGCAGTCGCACTGGCGAGCCTAATTATTTTGCGATAGATCCAAAGTCACGCCCAACGCTGGTGTGGATTCATGGCGGCGGCTGGGTCGCTGGGGACAAAGCCAGTGAGACCTCACAGCTGATACCCTACCTGCAGAAAGGTTGGAATGTTTACAACCTTAACTATCGTCAGGGTCAAGGAACTGCGCCTCAGGCCGTTGACGATGTGATGTGTGCGTACAAGACTATAGTCACTCAACTCGAACAGGCAGGTAATACAGATGCGCCAATAGTTGTTTCCGGCGCAAGCGCCGGTGGGCATCTGGCATTGGTTGTGGGTTTACTCAACAGCACGGGCAAACACCCTTGTCAGAGCAAACGCAAACCTGCCGCGGTAGTAAACTGGTTCGGCATAACCGATATCGAAATGGTTGACGAGTACCTCAACCAGAACCGCCCTGAGCAAAACTATGCGCGTAGCTGGGCAGGCTCAGTTGCCAAAATAGCCGAGGTTTCGGCCGCTTATTCGCCTATGTACCTGATATCTGACAATGCCCCGCCTGTCATTACCATTCATGGCGACAAAGATACTGTGGTACCTTTCGATCAGGCCGAGTCTTTGCACGCCAGCCTGACTACGCCTAATTCGCTGCAGACATTAACTGGCGGCAATCACAGCGGCTTCACTGACAAGCAATATAAAGATGCTTACGTCGCAATTTTCGAATTCCTGGATATCCACGCGCGCTTCTGAGAGAAACACATGCTTAGATTAATTCTGCTAACAGCAACCATCGCAATTTCGAGCTTCAGCCATGCGCTGCAGGTTGATAATTTTGTGCTGCTCGATCAGCGAGGTGATGCCCACGAACTGTTCTATCATCGCAGCTCACCCGCAGTGGTCATTATGACCTATGCGCAAAGTTGCAAAGCGGTGACAGATGCCATCCCGGCTTTCCAGGCGCTGAAGCAAAAATATGATGGCCAGGCCACATTCTGGCTGCTGAACAGCGACACCAGCATGGACCGCAAACAACTTGCACAACAGGCTGAGGCTGCGGGTATTGATCTGCCCATTCTGCAGGACGACACCCTACTCATCAGCGAATCACTAAAAGCCCAACAAGCAGGTGAAGTTTTTGTTCTCGACCCGCGCACCTGGCAGATAACTTATCGTGGCCCCATAACTTCTGCAGGAGAAACATCGGAAACAATTGCAGCATTGATTGCAGGTCAATCACCGGCCGGCAAAAACAGATCGGTTGAAGGATGCGAGATCTCCTATCCCCGACAAACACAAACTCAACAAATCAGTTACGCCGATACTATCGCCCCATTACTGCAACAGAAATGTGTGGTCTGCCATACCGAGGGCGGTTTAGGCCCCTGGCCGATGAACAGCTACACGATGATTCAGGGGTTTGCACCGATGATTCGCGAAGTTGTGCGCACCAAACGGATGCCGCCCTGGCACGCGGACCCGCACATTGGGCAGTGGAAAAACGATATTTCTCTGACCACCGAAGAAACTCAGCAGCTGATCCATTGGATTGAAGCGGGCGCACCCAGAGGCAGCGGTAGTGACCCGCTGGCGACTGACACCATTGATCAGGTGGAATGGCCTTTAGGAGAGCCCGACCTCATCCTCGACATCCCCGCCTATACCGTGCCCGTCAGCGGCGAGGTCGACTACCAGTTTCCTACGGTGAAAAATCCCCTGGATACCGGCGTGTGGGTAAAAGCCGCCACAGTGGTCCCCGGCGAACGCGAAGTGGTACATCACATTCTTGCAGGCACCCAGGACGGCGACACCACAGACCTGCGGCGCACCAGCGGGGTTTTCGACAACTATCTGATTGGTTACGCACCTGGCAACGAGTCACATGAATTCCCTGAAGGTACCGGCGTTTACATACCACCAGGCGGCGAATTTCTGTTTCAGATGCATTACACCCCGATCGGCAGGGAGGTCGTCGATAAATCAAGAATTGGTTTGTATCTGCACCGAGAGGTGCCGGAAAACTATTTCCGTCAGGATGTTGTGGTTAACCCCATGATCAAAATACCGCCTAACACAGCACGCCACACAGAGGTCGCTTACTACGCTTTTGATAAACCGGCGACACTGCACAACCTGGTACCCCATGCACACTATCGTGGGGTGGCGTCACGATTTGAATTGTGGAAACCCGATGGCGAAAAAGAAATTATCCTCAATGTCCCCAACTATGATTTCAACTGGCAGCGGACTTATGAGTTTGTAGTACCAAAACACATCGAAGCCGGCACACGTTTAGTGCACACCACCTGGTATGACAACTCCGCAGCTAATCCAGCCAACCCCGATGCCAGTCGCGAAGTCCCATGGGGCCTGCAATCCTGGGATGAAATGTTGTACGGCGCGTTCAGTTATACATGGGTAGATGAAAGCACCGAAGCGCCTATACACGACAAAATGATGGCGCGCACCAACCAGTATGTTGGTTTTCTGGATCAGAACATTGACGGAAAAGTCAGCTGGCGCGAGTTGCCAAGACAGATAAAGAAGCAGCTCGTTCAAGGCTTCAGCACCGTCGACACTAACGGAGACGGCGGCCTGGACTTGCAGGAAATGCACAAGCTGACCGAACGACGCGCTGAGCAGCGTCGCGAGGAAGCTGAAGCAGAGGCCGCCAACCAGGCAGGTGCTCGCTGAGCAGGGCAAATTATGCGCCTGCCACCAACATCTGGCTGAACCTGACCACCATTCGCGGTAAGATATTCCTAATCAGGAGATGACCATCATGCAACGCGAATTCGACATTATTGTTTGGGGTGCCAGCGGCTTTACCGGCAAGCTGGTCACCGAGTACATGGAAAAAAACTACGGCAACGGCAACCTGAAATGGGCCATTGCCGGACGTAACCGAGAGAAACTGCAAAGCAGTGTCAAAAACAGCGACATCGAAATCTTTGTTGCAGACTCACACGACCAGAACGCAATGAACGAACTGGCCTCTAAAGCCCGCGTTATTCTCACTACCGTAGGTCCTTATGCACGTTATGGCTCCGAGCTGGTGGCTGCGTGTGCCGCCAACGGCACCCACTACTGCGACCTCACCGGTGAAGTGCACTGGATGCGGAAAATGATCGACACCCACAGTGCTGCGGCTGAAGAAAGCGGCGCAAGAATCGTACATACCTGTGGCTTCGACAGCATTCCTTCTGACATCGGCGTGTATTTCATGCAGCAGCAGATGCAGCAGGCCCACGGCGTTGCCGCCCAGCGCATCAAGTACCGTACCAAAGCCTTCAAAGGGGGGTTCAGCGGCGGCACCGTCGACAGCATGATGGCGATGATGGAAGCCGCCCAGAGTGATCCCAACATCATGAAAGTGATCTCCGATCCGTACGCGTTGAATACCAGCTACCGTGGTTTAGATGGTATGGACACTAACCTTGCCTACTACGACGCTGACTTTAACTCCTGGGTGGGGCCATTTGTTATGGCTGCCATCAACACACGGGTTGTACGGCGCTCGAACGAATTGTTAGGCCTGGCTTACGGCCATGAATTCCGCTACGACGAAGGCACCCTGATGAAAGACGGCGTGCCTGGTATGTTTGGCGCCACATTGATGTCGATGGGCACAATAACCGTGAATGGTCTCTCCGCTTTCGCCCCGACCCGCAAACTGCTGCAGACTGTATTACCTAAACCTGGCGAAGGCCCTTCCCAGGAAACCATGGATAAAGGCTTCTTCGAAATAGAGCTGGTTGCGAAACACCCCGTTGATAACAGCAAAAACCTGCGTGGACGCGTCTATGGCGATCGTGACCCAGGCTACGGATCAACTGCAAAAATGTTATCAGAGTGCGCGGTCAGCCTGGCTCAGGACGAACTCCCTGTGGGTGGCGGTTTCTGGACCCCAGCCAGCGCCATGGGTGATGCGTTACTGAAACGTTTGCCAGGCAATGCCGGCGTCACCTTCGAGTTAATCGACTAAACAGCCGGCGTTGGCATTTGCGCCTGGCCGGCAAGCCGGCGCAAATACAACGCGCCGCCAATCATAGCGGCCGAGACGATGGACAAACTCCACAGCGATGCGCTGAAACCACCGGTGACGTCATAGATCACACCCATACCAAAGGGGCCAAGCATGCCCCCTACCTCTGCCGCAGAGAAGAACATGCCGCTGGCGACACCCACTCGCTGTTCGCCGATGCCAGGCAGTTCTACCAGCGTTAAAATTAACACAGTCATCAAGCTGGAACGGGCAACACCCTGCAGGATCAAGCCGGTGGTCAGGGTGACGTTATCCAGCGCCTGCAACAGTACGCTGGCCAGCAGCGCAGCCACACAGAGAAAGATGAGAATGTGGAAACGCCGGGCTGGAGTGGCCAGACGAGGAATCAGTAACGAACCGAGGATACCAACCAGTGTTGGCAATGCTGCCCAGTAGCCCGCCTGAACTGCGCTTTTGCCCCCTTGGCGTAACAGTTCCGGCAACCAGTTATTCAACCCATGGTTGTACAGAAACACACCCACACTCATCAATAACAACACCCGCACGGCTGGCGCCTTGATCAGCTCCGCCATTATCTGGAGTTGCGGGGTAGATTCTGTACGATTGGCTGCAGAGCGTTTGTCTACCTGCAGAAACGATGCAAGCAGCCACCAGATCACACCTGCTACAAGTGCCACCACACCCCACATGGCCATCACATAGCGCCAGTTCATATCAAACAGCGGCAGAAAAAAGGCGTTAGTCATGGTCAGGCAAACCACACCGCCGATAGCCGGGCCAGTCATGTAGATACCCATGGCCAGACCTCTCTGACTACCGGTGAAATACTCCGCCACCACCTTGGGTGCGCCAGAGGATACAATCGGACCACCAATACCAAACAGCATGACCGCTATCAGAAAAGACCAGTAATCAGTAGCAAACGCACGACCGAGGGCTGAAGCTCCGATTAGAGCGGCCGCCATCAACAGGGCGTACCGTCCTCCGATGCGATCCAGCAATATGCCACAAGGTATGGCCGCAAATATGTACACCAGCTGCCAGGCACCCATGACACTGCCCATAGCTGAGTGAGACATACTCAGCTCATTGAGAATATCCTGAACCATGGGCGCAACGCTGGCGACAACAAGACCAAAGCTGGCGTAGAGCAGCCACAAGCCGCCAAGTATCCACCACTTGCCGCTATTGTGGCCTGCTATTTCAGGTTGACCCATGACTTTGTTTTCACTTAGCTTTAAAGCACTTTCTCATGCAAGGAATCGCCATGGGCGTTCAAACTTTACCGGCAGATGCCAGCCAGGAAGATATTCTCGCAGTTTTGGAAGCAGATGGCGCCGCCATTGTGGCGAACCTTATCGAGGCTGACCAGGTTAAAAAGATGGTTGACCAGGTCACCCCCTTTATCCAGCAGACCCCCATGGGGCGTGACGATTTCAGTGGACGACACACCCAGCGAACCGGCGCCCTGGTTGCACGGACACCTGCGTGCCACGACCTGATTCTGCATCCCAGCATCCTGCCAACCGCAGAGACCTTTCTGGGACCATTCACCGACAAGATAATTCTGCACCTGACACAAACAATTCATATCAATCCGGGCAATCCTGCACAGCCTTTACACCGCGACCGCCTCGCCTGGGGCACCCACATTCCGCAAACTATTGAACCGCAGTTCAATACCATCTGGGCACTTACAGATTTCACAAAGGAAAACGGGGCAACACGATGTGTGCCTGGCAGCCATAAGTGGGATTGGCAGCAACGTGCTGAACCCGATCAGATCGTGCAGGCGGAAATGCCTGCCGGTTCGGTTTTTATCTACACCGGCAGTGTTCTGCACAGCGGCGGAGAAAACCGTTCCAACGCGGCGCGTATGGGTCTTAATCTTACCTATACCCTGGGCTGGTTACGTCAGGAAGAGAATCAGTATCTGTCCTGCCCACCGCATATCGCCAGAACCCTGGCGCCGGAACTACAGGAGTTATTGGGCTACACCCAGGGGAACTATGCTTTGGGGTATTACAGCGACCCGGAAGCACAACATAGCGCATCAGATATTCTGCCACCGGAGATGGCGCTGGGGAGGATGCCAACCAAAGGCTCAAGCCTGGCGTCTACAACCGATGACGCCATCGACTTTGCATCGATCGAACAGATTTAGAACAGGGACTTTTCTTCAGGCGAAAAGAAGCCCAGTTCAAAAGTTGGTTGGGGTCAACTTTTTTGAACTGGGCTTAGAAAAATGTTTAAGCCGTACTGTTAACCTGCGCTGGCACCAGCCACCTGCATGGTGATATCACCTGTGTGATAGCTGGTAAGACGGGGGTGATCCACCTTACTGACCAGATCCTCAACAACGTCACTCACACATGCCGCCACTTCATTGTGATTGCGTATTTGTGAATACGTTGGGCAATATTGCTTGGCGACCTTAACAATGCGTTCATGCACTTGTTTGACACCAGCTGCATTTGTCAGCTCAGTTGAGGAATAAGCCATGGCATAATCGTCTGCGATAGCGTAGGTAGATGCGCCGAATGCGGCAGTGATCAAAAGGGCAGTAGCTAATTTTTTCACGTTCAAATACTCCAAATTACTCTAAAAAAGGTGTTTTCAACTGAAGTTGATCGCACCCGACTCGCTCTGTTAGCCCGCAACCCATTTATTTTTGTTGCCTGGCTGACTACTTAGTCGCACTACCGTTGATATTAGTTTTATTTAATTTCATTCAACGGTTGGAGACTGCCCCAACGATTGCGGATATTGCATACAGCTTACTCAGATTTCTGGTCTGACCAGAGCGTCTTTGTCTTGGTCTGACCAAAGCGTTTGTGGATGCTGTCTGTTCGTCCGCGCTTACTTATAAAGATGCGCAGGAACAGGAAAGGGTTGCAGGAGGAGAGAAAAAAAAAGAAAAAAATTACCAACCTTTCAGCGCCAGGCCTGAAAGGTTGGTAGCTTAGAAGGCTAAGGCCGCAAGAATGCGACGTTAGATGACTTCTTCAGGCTCAACAATCTGGTAGGTGAAATCGTAGTTAGACAAAGGCAGTTGCCGCACACGGGTGCCGGTAGCCTGGAAAACAGCACCAGCCAGAGCCGGCGCAATGCCGGGTGTGCCAGGCTCACCTGCACCACCCCAGGGCGCATTGCTGTTAATAACGTGTGTCTCAATTTCTGGCGCTTCATTCATCCGCACCGACTTGTAGTCGTGGAAGTTGCCCTGCACCACAGCACCATCTTTAATATCGATGTTGCCGTACAGCGCCGCTGTCAGGCCATAGATGATGCCAGACTCCATCTGCGCAGCCACACCGTCTGGTGAAACCGCAAAACCGCAGTCAACAGCACACACAACGCGCTCCACCGAGACCACACCCGCATCCACGCTGACATCAACCACTTGAGCCACAAGCGAGCCAAATGATTCCTGCAGGGAGATACCACGGCCTTTGCCGGCGGGCACTGACTCACCCCAGCCTGCCTTTTGCGCTGCAAGATCCAGCACCGCAAGATGCCGCGGTTTACCAGCAAGCAATTCACGACGCAGCAGATAGGGATCTTTACCCGCTGCGTGTGCAACCTCATCAAAAAAACCTTCGGTGAAAAAGCCGTGTTGCGAATGGTCGACACTACGCCAGGGACCAAAGGGCACATGGGTGGGACTGTCGGTATAGGCAATGTGCTGCGCAGCTACCGCATAAGGAATCACCGGCGCTTCTGCAGGTTCATGCTTTTCATGGAACAGATTATCCCAGGCCAGCACGTCGCCAGCCGCGCTGAGGGCTGCACGAAATTGTGAGGCCACAGCTGGTCGGTAGATATCATGACGCACATCTTCTTCCCGAGACCAGATGAGCTTCACAGGCACCCCAGTAGTCTGGGCCAGCCGCGCCGCCTGCACCGCCACATCACCGGTTGCCCGACGACCAAAACCGCCACCCATCATATGCTGATGGATTGTGACGTTGGCGGAATCAACACCCAGGGCGTTTGCGACCTCATGACGGAAACCCAGGGGATTCTGCGAACCCACCCAGACTTCAATCTGACCATCGTTGACTTGAGCCGTCGCGTTCATGGGCTCCATGGTCGTGTGCGCGAGAAACGGCACCTTATAAGTGGCTTCCACCACTTTATCCGCCTGGGCAAAAGCCGCAGCCGTATCACCCACCACCACATCTTCACCCGCACTGCCGTTTTCACGAGCGTTCTGCAGGTCTTTTTCAAACTGGGCAAACAACGTTTCGCTGGACACATTTTCGTGGCCGGTTTTGGACCACTCAACCTGCACCGCATTCAGCGCCTGTTTCGCCTGCCAGTACCCATCTGCAACCACAGCCACAGCATTGTCGAGGCTGATCACATCAACCACGCCCGGCATCTGCTTAGCACGGCTACCGTCAAAGCTCGCCACCTGAGCGCCAAAAACCGGCGCACCAATAATTGCCGCGTGCTTCATGCCCGGCAGGATGGCATCAATGCCAAACTGAGCCGTGCCATCCACTTTGGCTGGAATATCCAGACGCGCCACACTCTGGCCCATGATCTTGAAATCTTTTGGATTTTTCAGCGTTGGCGTGTGGGATGGCGTCATCGCTGCGGCAGCTTCTGCAAATTGAGCAAACTCCGCGCGCTGCCCGCTGGCAGCATGCACAATGTAGGAATTCTCTACCGTGAGCTCCGAAGCCGATACCTGCCACTCGTTCGCCGCTGCTTTGATCAGCATCTCACGCGCCGCTGCACCCGCAACCCGCATGCCGTAAACACCGGTTGCGCGAATACTGGCACTGCCACCTGTAATCTGAATATGCATGGCTTTCACTGCCTGCAGAAACAGTCCATCTACCGTGGGCACCAGCACTTCTGGGAGTTCAGCGTCACCCATCAGAAAACCTTTGCCCACCGCCCAGTTGGCATATTCATCTTCCGCTGGCGCTTCCATAAAGCTGACCTGCTGCCAGTCGGCGTCCAGTTCATCTGCCAGCATCTGCGTCAGCGCAGTTTGTGCACCCTGACCCATTTCGCTGTGCGGCACGATGGCGGTGACATGATTGTCGTTGCCGATTTTCACCCAGGCACTGACCAGGGTTTCATCTTCACCTTCAACATATTGCGCAAGTTTCGGTGTGCGGTGCCCCGGGCGCAGCGCCACACCAACAATCAGTCCACCACCGGCAACAACACCGGAAGTAATCAACGCACGACGTGTCCACTTACCCATTCTGCACCGCCTTTGGATCAAAGGTTTGTACCACGGCTTGACCGCTGGCCACTTTGATCGCGTTGCGGATGCGCTTGTACATACCGCAGCGACACAGGTTGCCGGACATGGCCTGATTGATGGCTTCGTCATCGGGTTGTGGGTTAGTGGCCAGCAGCGCTGTGGCAGACATGATCTGTCCTGACTGGCAGTAGCCACATTGCGGCACTTGCTCAGCGATCCATGCCTGCTGCACCGGGTGCAGTTCTTCCCCGTCACTGATGCCTTCGATGGTGGTGATCTCAGCACCCGCTGCTGCAGACACTGGTGTGACACAGGAACGAATGGCTGTGCCATTCAGGTGAACGGTGCACGCACCACATTGAGCGATACCACAGCCGAACTTGGTACCGGTGAGTTGCAGGTTTTCTCTGATTGCCCACAGCAGGGGCATTTGCGGGTCGACATCCAGCTGATGTTCCTGCCCATTGACGCGTATCGTGACCATATTTCAGCCGCCTTGGTTAATTTGCTGGCTGGATATTATCAGCATCGTTTGGAGTTTTCAGAGCACTTTCCTGCAAGCCTTGATCGACCGAGCGCCCAAGCGTGGTCTTGAGATAGCCATTTTCTAAGCTCAGCTGAACGTTGTGCCGAGTCGTGAATCAACCGCAACTGATACAAGAAGCTCAGGCGACCTGAGTTGCTAGAATAAACTGCTCAATAATGGCAAATGTTTCGGCAGGTTTGTCGCGCCAGGGGCCGTGCCCGGCATCTGGTACCACTTTAAGCTGTACAACATCTGGCGCCAGGCGATCAACAATGTCTAAAGAATCCTGCAACGGCGTGACCGGATCCTGGTCGCCTGTCAGTACTAGCGTAGGGGCAGTGATTTTATCGAGATCGTCTCGCAGGTCCATGGTATGCCAGGTACCCTCCAGTGAGTGAAAAGCCATGGCCAGTTTCGGGCGGAAGATGACAGAGTCTCGGGGTGGCTGAGGTGTGGTGTTGTATACCGACATACACTTCTCGCCAAACGCCTGGGAACTTGCCGCGTCAACGCGCACCGTTAGAAATTCTCTCGCCGCAGCTTCAGCTTCTTCTCCACCAAGACGCCGGAACTCTGCAATTGAACGTTCGACATCGAGCTTTGCCTGGGTGCTGGCCAGAATCAGTCCACCGGCATGATCAGGATAACGGATACCGTAGGTCATCGCGATAAATCCACCCCCAGATACACCGAGCACTATGGGCTTGTGTATGTCCAGCAAACGGCAGAACTCAACCAGATCGTCAGACCAGCGCTCCAGGGTGAAAATATCGTCCGGTGGATCATCGGATCGCCCAGCGCCCGAGATGTCCAGATAGACAATATGGCCTAAATCCCGCAAAGCTGAGAAGGCGGGTTTGAAGACGGAGTGATCTGAATTGCCCGGGGCACCGTGTAACAGAATGAGGGTTGGGAGACGTCTGAGCTTGTTGTCTTCCAGAACATATTCTGGTCCTTCGACGTCAAAAAAGAGTCGCTTGTCCCCGACCTGCATTTTCATACATTCGCTCGCGTGTGGTGGCTATGTTCAACAGGTATGTTACCCGCAACGGGCTGGCGGATGTCTAGTTAGTTTCAGCCAAGGGTGTTGTGGATGACACCTGTCAAAGGTTGTAAGGTCATACACTGATATTGGAGGTGAGCTTGGGTAAAACAGTGATTCGTGGCGGTTCGATTCTTGATCCGCACACTATGGAACTATCAGCCAACGAGGTGTTGGTCATAGAAGACGGTCTGGTTTCTGAATCCAGCGACATTGCGGGTGCCGATGTTGAACTGGATGCAGACGGACAGTTTCTGATGCCCGGCTTTATAGATGCACATGTGCACTTCCGTTTAGCGACGCTGAATTTTGCAAAACTGTCTCAGTGGACGGAAGTTCAGTTCGGCATTGCGATGGCGAAACTGAGTCGGGAAACACTCGCCCGCGGGTTTACAACTGTTCGAGATCTCGGCGGCGATGTCATCGGGTTAAAACGAGCAATTCGAGCCGGCATGGCCCAGGGACCAGACATTGTTCAAGCCAATCTGATGATTACCCAGACCGGTGGTCATGGTGACGTTGAATCAGGGGTTTTGCCCGTTCCCGATTGCGCCTGTCAAATGCGTCATAGTGCTTTTGGCATCGTGGCGGACGGACCGGATGCGGTGCGCAAGGCGGCTCGCCATGTTTTAAGAGCGGGTGCGGACTTTCTCAAAATTCACGTGTCCGGCGGCGTTGCCACACCCATGGATCCCCTGGACTGTACCCAATACACCGCAGGCGAAATACAGGCGGCTGTCGCCGAGGCGAACAACAGAAAAACCTATGTTGCGGCGCACGCCTATACACCGGAGGCGATTCAACTGGCGGTTCGCAATGGGGTTAAATGTATTGAACATGGCAATCTCATAGATGAAGAAACCGCTGAGGTTATGGTGGAACATGATGCATGGCTGGTGCCAACCTTAGTGACCTACTTGGGTATGGCTTCAGAAGGTCGAAAGCTGGGATTCCCTGAGCGTAACCTGGTCAAGAATGAAGCGGTATTAGCATCTGGCATTGAGTCTTTAGCCATTGCGGACAAGGCTGGGGTCAAAATGGGTTGGGGTACCGACTTGATCGGCGAAATCCAGTCAATGCAACGACAGGAGTTTGCCGTTAGGTCAAAGGCACAATCTGCCAAATCAATTCTTCACGCCATGTATGTGATGAACCCGATCATTCTGCATAAGGCCGACAGCATCGGGCGGCTCAGACCGGGTATGGTGGGCGATGTGGTTTTCACCACAATAAACCCGTTGGAGAATATCGCAGGCTTAGCCAATGATGATGCGGTGACTCAAGTCGTTAAACGTGGCGTCCCAGTCTAGACAAATCTCAGACTGGCTTGCATCGGCAGCGGAAAACCGGCATGGCCATGCACAGGCTGAGTTCTTCTTTTGCCTTAGTGATTTTCCATCTCTCAAGCGGCTGGATGCAATATCTGCCCAGGAAACCCAGGGTTATACACATCTGCCTTTACTCAAAGGGCAGAGCTTACATCACCGATCAAAATAGGACGCATACAGGCAAATGAATAACCCATCGATGACGCCCCGGGAGTGGCTTCGCCTGATCATAGTCTATCTTTCCATACCCCTTATTCTATTCGTCTTCGCAGGGGATCTCCGCTGGTGGCAGGCGTGGTTTTTTTCCATCCTGTTTTTTGCGGCAAGCGTCGGTGGACGCATTTGGGCAGAACGGCGGCATCCAGGGCTGATGGCTGAGCGAACCCACTCCCTCGAAGCATCGGATGTCAAAGCATGGGATAAAATCCTTGCCCCACTTATGGCATTGAGCATTTCCTTCCCGCTGGTGATTGTGGCGGGGCTGGATCACCGTTTTGGATGGTCCTCTGTGTTCCCCATATGGTTAAACATCACGGGTATTCTGTTGATCGCAGTTGGCTACGCGTTCGGTGTGTGGGCGTTGGCGGAGAACCGCTACTTCTCCAGCATGGTGCGCATCCAAACCGATCGCGGACATGTGGTGTGTGACAGCGGCCCGTACAGAGTCGTCCGGCACCCGGGTTATGCTGGAAACCTTCTGGCAATACTGGGCATTGTGCTGGCCTTAGACTCTACGTGGACACTCATACCAGTGGGGTTCGCGCTGGTTGTCACTGTAATCAGAACCGCCTTGGAAGATCGCACTCTCCAGGACGAACTGCCTGGATATCGGGAGTACACCAGCCACGTAAGTTATCGGTTGTTCCCTGGCGTTTACTGATGCGTCCTCTGCGCTGTAACTCAGTGGGGGCTTTTTCCTGAAGCGCCGACCCGTGGGCGTGGTCGCCCATGAACCCATTGGCAACGATTGCTTGTGGCCGAAAGTACGCATAGGCAGGCACATTTTTAATGTCGGCTATCGGGAAACTTGAAGTGACTTCTAACATATCTTGTTATCAGACACTCAGACGAGTCTCCGAACCGTCTCAAATGTGCCCAGTACAGACCATGACACCAGCGCCTGTTCACAGCTGCTGGGATCTGATCTAACCTCCCTCGATTAACTAACGAGTAAATTCGATGTCGATATCACAACTTGGAGCCCTGGGGGAATTCCTTGGGTTCTTTGCAGTTCTCGCAACTCTGATTTATCTGGCTATCCAGACTCGACAGACTAGCCACATCGCTGCGGGAAACGCTGTCAGAGCTATGACCTTCGAATTCCAAGGGCTTTGGAATTCGCTCGGCATGGATGAGGACTACATGAAGCTAGTTCGGCGTGGTATGAATGATTGGGAGTCGCTGTCGCATAATGAGCAGTCACGTGTCCATACAGTCTTCATCAATATTGCCCTCCATTTGGATGGATGCCTAAATCAAGAGCACTTAGCGGAAGCGCGCAGTGTAATAACCGGTTGGGAAAATAATTTCCTCGGACTGATACTTTGTCCAGGTGGAGCAATTTGGTGGAAAACCATGAACTATATGTTTAATGAAGGTCTGCGCAGTCGAATTGAATCACGATTACAGGATGAATTGTCTTTGCCACCCCCATGGATCGACACGCTTCCGTGGTGGACGCTAGATGAACATGATTCCTAGCCTGGGTAGGGTTCACTAGTCGGCTCATGAGCGATTGTTCCCATTCGTGGGGTTGCCGTGAGTGACTCATAACTGTCCTATAGCCGACAGATGGTCATTGAGGTGTGACAGGCGAGAATGTGCCCATCGTGGCCCTTCGATGATCTGTTTGGTCATCATGGTTTGTGAGATTAACTCGCGCCACGTCCAGAATGATGTGCGTTAGAATGACTTTTTCTCGCTTGGCAGGCATGCTCATGAAAATCGCTGTTGCAATGGTTGCGGTGCTGTTTGTTGCGGGTTGCACCACTCAGAATCTGGGTGGGACCTACAATGCTTCTAAAAATGCTGGTCTAACCGACGGCGCGTCCGTTGCGATTATCTATGTCGATGCTGATGTAGCGGATGGGATTGGTTATCAGACCTGGGCCAATGGTGACGCACAGGGATTGGTCTATCCCAACACCTTTAGACGTATCGGTCCTGTGCAGGGTTTAGTAGAGATTGGATTTCGAGAACAATATGTCGGCAAGATCATTGGAGAGGATTTGCCGGAGTCATTTACCTTGCTTGGCTCTCCTCTGTCGTTCAGCGCACCGTTTATACTAGCTGTGGATGTAGGACAGAACGAAGTCCATTTCATTCGCGTACGCAAAGAATCTAGTGAAGAGTTTTTCGCCTGTGACGAAAGTGCCGACACCACTACGCTGTGCAGTGAAAAGCAGTACAAGACGGTCATTGAGGAAGTGGACGCGACAACCGCAACTGCCGCCCTTACTGAGATGCGGAAGAGTTTGTGAGGGTTCGTAAGCTTGTGGCTCTGTTCTGCGTGAGTGCGACAATGTTAGCGGGATGTGCTAGTGCGCCGAGATACGCGCCGTTGACACCGATTCCGCCGGGTAGCCAGATTCGGATCGCAATTAACGTGCTGGATGTAGAGTCGCCGGATGCTTGGGATACAGGCGAGGCGATGGGACGAGGCGCAGCAGTTGGTGCTGGCGTGGGGTTCGCAGGAGGTGCGGCTGCGGGTCTTGAATTTACGATTGCGTGCGGGCCGTTTTTCTACATATGCGCTCCGTTGGCAGTTGTTGGCGCTGCCGGAGCTGCTGCTGTGGGTGCTGTTGGCGGCAGCGCACATGGGGTGGCTATAGCGTTGCCCGCGGAGAAGGCCAATGCCTTGGAAGGGTTGATCGATGAATACCTGAGCAACAAAAATATCCTGGAGGTTATGCGCAACGACTTTGTTCAACGTCAAGATGGGCGTTGGCAACTGATCGAATCATCAAGTGGACCAATCGTTGCATTGGGTGTGGAAGCGCTCGGGCTTGATCAGTTCGCTGGTGATGAGTTAATGATCCGGATGACCTCCTATCTACGTGTTAGATATGGACCCGGCGAGCAAGAAGTAACCAAAAGAATGCTCGTTAATGCTGAATCGGAACGCCACCATGTGGACTACTGGATTGCCGAAGGTGGCGCCAATCTTGAAGCAGAGTTGAATGCGGTGCTGGCAGAGAATTCACGCCAGATAGTTGCTGTGTTGAGTCAACCGCTTCGCAGTGGACCTTCGCGCAAATCCATCTTTGGTGTACCGCAAAACCAGTGAATTGTTGAACTCCAAACCGTCTGCTAATGGCCGTTTTTTACGCATTCAACCCTTGAGTAATAACGGATTTTGAATGACCGGTGATGTGGCAGTAAGCTGACATAAACAACAACAGATTTCATATGGCAACACTCGACCCACACCCGACATTCACCGATGACAGATTCTAGGCTAGCATCTTCCAATTACATTTCGGGAGAGAAACATGGATCATCAGGCTTTCGCTCAGCTTTTGGGCAACTATGGTGAGTTCATTGGGGCAGTCGCGGTGTTGGTTACGCTGGCTTATCTTGCAGTCCAAGTTCGACAAAACACTCGGTCTATGCAGTCTCAGATTC